AGCTGAGCATGGTGATGAGGCTGAAGCAGGAAGACTATAAGTTCAAACTCAACCTAGGAAACTTCATGACTTAGAGACACCCTGTCAGAAAATAAAAGCAAAAGGGCTGGGAATGCGGCTCAGTGCAAAGTCCTTGGATTCCATCCACAATAACAAAACAGCCTGGTTAAAACCTGTCCCAGAGGAACTGTGGATGTGCAGACCTTCTGGATCTGGCTCTATTTTTAATAAGTAAGGGAATAGTGGCAGAAATGTTTGGTACATCACAGAACTCTTTAGAGCAAAGACTACATAACTCAATCCATCTATTTTATAAGTCTTCATATTTGTTCACTGGTTTCACATGTCGCAACTACACACACCATACATATGAGACAGAATATGATGTAAAATGTTAGATATTTTAAGAAAGGCCTTCAAAATTATGGCTAATGATCTACATAATATGCATTTCAATTATAACACTTTGATAAATATTCAACATTTTAGAGAAAAGACAAATGTCTGACTAAGCAATTATTTAGATTTTTGCTAGTTCAAATGAATTCTCAGGTCAAAGACTGTGTGATATTAAAATTTAAGTATTCTACTGTGATGTAGACTTTGAAAATCTGGCCTTCAAACTCTGAAGGGTAGGATATTCTTACATCTCTTTTAAGGGAAAAAAGATGAAATATAGGTGGACAGTGAATTCATTCCAGAGATTGACTAACACTTTAAATATTTATAATGGCAGCCAGTAAAGTAAAAAAGATTTAGGGAACAGAGTTTATGACATTGATGATATTTTTTTTTAAAAAAGCAACCCCACAAAACAGTTGTGGGATAAGTAAATTACTTCATCATAAATGATAGCTTCAAAATATATGGCATATTTTCACTAACTACTTGCACAAGAAAAATAGAAAGGAGAGTTATAGTAGCTAAAATAAATTCTTATACCAAGCATTTTAATTAATCAATTCCTAATCTCAACAATTAAAATGGAAACTATGTTTAAAAGTTATGTAAAGAACTCTGAATGCACAGTCATTATCTTGCTCAAGACTGATTTTTAAAAGCATTTTAATGAGCTCTCCTTAGGCATTTATTATAATCATGTTTTGCATCAAAAACGCAAAATAGATTAATCCATAAATTATTTTAATGGCATCTGAAACACAACTTTTATATGAATTGTCTAACTGTATGACTTAGAACCACAGCAACACCTTAGGTTTATTTTATATACACAGTGACACAATGTCATAATTTTTTTTGCATGCAGTCTTCCATTTGATAGCACAGAGACAAATGTAAAATATGATTTGATTTGTCCATTGTTAGTATAAGTGAGCTAGAAGATTAAAAGTTCCTGTTATGCAAGAACATAATGCCTTCATAGTGTTTAAATTTAGAGTATTTAGCAAGGACTTACAATGTGAATTAAGCACACAGTTTCATGTGAGGCTCTCACTGTACAATCGTCCATATTAGCTATCATTAAAGATCACTGCAGTAAGCCTTGTCTTTAATAAGCCGTGCTGACACGAAACCTTGCTGACAATAAAATGTAAGGTCTAATAGCCTTCAAATTTTTACAACTTCAATATATTCTTGATCATTTTTTTTCTCACATGCTATCAAAATTGTTAAGTGGGACATATTTGGCAGACACTTTAAAGAAGAATAGTACAGATGCATGAAATAGAACTGTTTTAAAGGATAATTAGTTGAAAAACAGGACTAAAACTACTTCATTATGCATTTTTGCATGAGATAATTTTGATAATATTAGGAATTTATTGTAAAATATGAAATGGAAATTTATACAAATATATGAAGCACTATTCGTTTAACTACTCAAATATATGAAGCACGTCCAAAGGATGGTCCCTAAGACAACTAGATTTGTTGACAAAACTACAATCTAGGATGCTATCCTATTATCAGTTGTTGGAATTTTGCCATATGGAGCATTTAAGAAATGAGTAACTTTATGGGGCTGGGGATTTAGCTCAGCAACATAAGCGCCTGCCTTGCAAGCAGGCAGTCGTGAGTTCGATCCCTGGTACCGATAAAAAAAAAAAAAAAAAAAAAGGAAATGACTAACTGTTCGCTGTACTGACTGAATTGGTTTGATCTTCAACTTCCCTGCTGATCAACAGTAAAAATACTTGCTGGATCTTTAAATACACAAATGTCTATTGTACACTACTATTTCAGATTTAATTGCATTTAGAACACTTTATGTATTTTCTGATACTACAGGCATATGGTCATTTTCCCACAGTTCGTTTTATGTAAAATGTACATTCTTTCCATCATCAGAATCTGCTTCCTTAAAAATAGCTCAGCCAAATCAGAAAATCATAGCAACTTAAAGTCTTTTCGTAAAGGAACAGATTTTTCCAAAAGCCAAAATATCTGTTTATTTCAGGAATTTGTGCAGAAACAATTGAATATTGATCTGTAACTCAAACATCACATTTAGATACCTACTTTTATATAAAAGTAACAAAACTTTAAAATAATATTTATTCCAATGTTGTGTGATGATGATTTTTTCATCCAAGGTGACTAGGATGGATTTGGAATAGTGAAGAGTACTCAATATGTGATCAATTAAAAGGTGATCAATTGCTTTTCGAAAAACAAATGAGATGTAATCATCTAACTTGCCAGCCCCTGTACTAGTCCCTTCGATCCCCATTTTTTCTTTTAGATTTTCTTTCTCACTTCTCTCATTCTCAGGAGCCCACTCTGTTTTCTGAGGCCTTTGGGTAAAATTCTTCCACTTTTGGCTCCTCTCCATTATCTAGAAACCTGTGACTTTCTTTATTCTTTTCTTGCAGGGTAAAATCTCACATTTTTATTTAAAGCCAGCCCAGTCAAATTGCTGGACATCTCCCTTCCTGACTGGTACAGCAGAATTCAGTCTCTCCCATGCTCCCATAGTATCTCCTACCCACTCTGGCACAGCAGATCTAAATCATACAGTGTAACCCACACACACACTTCTTATCCTCACACTCCTGGTACCTCCCACAAAGCCTTGCAAGCAAAGGTATGCAGCTAATATAGACTGAATTGAAGTTTCTCACTTTTAAGCATGAGTTATTTTTAATACCTTAAAGTGAGCCTAGTTTGTCCCAGATTGTCCACAGAATGGCGTATGGCTTCTGCTCCACTTTATGTTTTCAACTCATAAGTGACCCAAAAAGGAGAAATGAAACATTTCCATTAAGTAGGACTGCCAAGAAAAAAATACAGGCTGCTCAGTCTTAACTAAATTTCAGATAAACTAGTAATAAAAAGTTAGAAAAATATGTATGGGCTGGCAAGAGAAAAAAGCTGCCTTTTCATCATCCTGTAAATGCTGGCTTAAAATCTGGCCAACAAATGAATTCTTCATAAAACTCTAAGATTGCATACCTGTCTCATCAAAAGTGGATGGTAGGGGATGGGGGTTTAGCTCAGCAGCATAAGCGCCTGCTTGAAAGCAGGCAGTTGTGAGTTCAATCCCCGGTACTGATAAAAAGAAAAAGACAAAAAAAAAAAAAAAAAAAGTGGATGGTGCAGATTTTTTCTAAAAAGAAGTACCATTTTTAGAGTACTGACTGCTCTTACTGTGTGTGCACCGATTTACTGGTTAACAGTGGGGGTAAGTGAAAGTTATAAACCAAAGAGGAAGGGAAGAAGCCTAAGCCTATTCCAATCCTAAAAGTTTTCTTTAGTAACCGGCTGATCTTCAGTGTTCTTGACAGTGATGCCTGCAGAGAAGGTATTCACTCCTTATTCTAATGAAAGACATTAAGGAGCGAGAAATATCTTCTACTGGTCAGGGATACTTTGCAAAAATTTCAACTAGACTGACCTCAGAGAAAACTTCTACAGAAAGAATGACTGACTCTGCTGTAACTACATGTTATCCTAAGAAGATAATTTTTTATGACATTTACCCTAACACAAGCACACTTCCTGCTTTCCATCACATTGGCAGCACTCAAACGGTTGTCAAGTGACTAACACAACAGGCATATACTGCAGAGATGCAGCACAATGCCTGGATGCCTGCCCAAAAATTGGTCTGTCAAAGGACGACTCAATTGATGGTACCAGGCTAAAGGTTAGAGGGGTTTGCAATATTTTTTCCTACTGGTGGTCGGGAAAGGGTGAAATTTGGAAAGCTCAAGACATTGGCTGGGGCTTCCACCTGCTTGCGCAGAGTAGATTAGGCTGACAAACACATTCATTACACTTGATCTGAAGCAAGTGAGCCATTGAGGTCGTTTCTGAAATATTCATAAGGCGTGTTACCGGACTCGCCACTTTGAGGTTGAGCAGAAACACTGGGCGTAGGACAGAAGTCAGTGCCCAAAGCTGGGAAAAAAAGCTATTAGGAAAACAACTCACTCCATCACTATACGCCACTGTTCTGCTTTCAACAGCTCTGTCCTCTGTCGCTCCCCATTCTCCCGGTAAATTCTACCTGGACGCTCTAAGTCCGCAGTTTCCAGCAGTTGGAAGTGGCGCAGCGCGCCAGCCCTTGAGACTGCTTTTCCTGGGTTGAAACGCATAAGCCCCAAGTCTGGAGCCTTGCATCACCCCAGAGGCCAAAGACCAGAGGGTCTCTCGGGACCAGGACCAGCCATTCGTCCCAGCCAGGCCGCCCCCGTCCCCTCTGGTCTTTTTGGCCTCTGCTTAGAATCCCCTCCCGCAGACCGCAGCCCGCAGTCGCTAGGCGACCTGGCCCCAGGCGGAGACGCACACAGCTTCCAAGGCCGACTGCAGCTCCGCGGGTGCTAACTGGGGCGGGAGGGAGGGGGCCAGGTAGGATGGCGAAGACGACTCGGGGCCTCGGGCACCGCCGAAGGGCGCACTTCCATTCCCGTCTCGCCTCGGCCCCGACCCTTCGCGTCTCCGCTGCACCCCGGAGCCCGCGCGGAGCCCGGCCGCCCCTCCTCTCCTTTCCAAGGGCATGCCCCTCTCGCAGCCGGCCGCTCAGCGCTCGCACTCACCCGGGGGCGGCTCAGCAGGTCCCAGCGCTCAGCAGGGCGGGCTCCATCCCGCCTTCCCGGGACGCTCAGGCTGCGTGCTCGGCCGCGGCGATCCACTCGGCTGGTCCCCCACGAGGGGCTGGACCGAAGACACCGCGCTGCCACACCGGCTGCGGGCGCGGGCGGGCCGGAGGCGGGGCAGGGACCTGCGTCCCGCGGAGCCGAAGGAGCCGGGGTGCAACCTGGGCTGCAGGCGGCGCGGAGGCGGCAGGCGGCGCGGAGGCGGCAGGCGGCGCGGGCCGGCGGGGAGGGCGCGCGGAGCTTCCCCGGGAGCGCGCCGCGAGCGGCGACTGAGCATGCCCAGTCCGGGAGCCCCGGGCGCGGGCGCGGTGCGGGGGAGGAGTGAGCCCGGCCCCGCCGGAGACTGCGGGAAAGGGTTAAATCTGCGGACCTGGCCGCTGCGGACCAGGGCGGAATGTTGGCTGCAGTGGGTCAGTTAATCGCACCAGGTCGACGCCAACCCAAGCCCTTCGAAGGCGCCCACGCTGCAAGATGGTGAACTAAGGAAAACCTGTCAATGGGATTCCTTTAGAGTCCAAGGCAAAGCGTGTTCCCCAGCCCTTCCCAGACAATTTCGCAGAAGTTAGAGTTTGTATTTTTAGTTCAGTTTCAGCCTTGCCGTTTCACTGAGCAAGAGTGACTCACTCTGGCCCAGATACCCAGCCCTTGCCTACTTTCCTGTGCCCGGAGACCTCCCAGGCAGCCTTCTTTCCAGGCTCCTGAACTGGCCAGGTCAAGTTGTCAAAGAGCCAGCTTTTTAATTAGGTGTAATGAGGGATCTTGTCAACCCTCTCAGGTCAATACCTGCCTTTCTACCGGGGCTTCAGAAACAATACCTCAGCCTCAGGGTTAATTATAAGGGGATGAATTATAGACACTTCGGTCTGAGGCTCTTCCTGGCATCCTTTGCAAGGCTAGCGAAGGACTGGCCCCAAAGCTCCCCTGCACACACACCATGTGCATGCACATTCGTATACACACAGAGAAATACAGAGACAGAGAGAGTCATAGAGACAGACAGGCAGAGATAGGGTTGGAAGAGACTGACTCGGAGACCTGATGGATTTCAATTTCAGTTTCCTTCCCAAGTAGGTTATTTAGCCATTCTGCACCTCCTTCTCATGTAAGAAGGAGGGCAGTAAAATGCCCACCTCTTGGCTGTTGTGATAAAGACACAGCCCTGGTAGAGAACACCTGTCACACAGTAAGTGTTCATTGAATTAAAGTTTCTGCGGGCTCCACTTCCACTATTTTATGAAAGGTTGAGTTAGTAATAGCCTTTAAATAGCGAACCTTTATTGTGTCTCCCCTTCATGTTAAGTAACTTCAAAGCCATAACGTTTCTGAGCTTTTATCATTGTTAAAAATATTAGCTAGACCTGATGTGGTGGTGCAGGCCTGTAATCCCAGCACTTGGGAGGCTGATGGAAGAGGATCACCTTGAGTTCCAGCCCTGCCTGGACTACACATTGAGTTCAAGGTCTTGTCTCAGAAAAAAACAAGCAAACGCCCTTTTGACTTTGCAATTTCTTTGTATTTCATAACTAAATCCTTTGGAAAAAAACTAGTCTGAGGCTTTGTTGACAGCAGTGGGAGAGCTTTTTCATAAGGGATTCATAAGAGACAGCTTTTTCCATGTGGCAAAAGAATTTCACTCCATGGTCTTAAAAGTAATTTAACTTGCATATCTCCTTGTTCTCTTTGCTATTGTATGAAGTAACGCATATGAAATGAAATGCACTTCCACTGTTTAAGATCTCAACTTCCAAAAATCTAAACTTTTCATTATCCATCAAACATGCTATGTTCTTCATCCATCCATATTGATGGATATACCCCCTCTCTTTCCATGCCAGTTTTTGAAGTTCTAACTCATTCTTCAAGCTAAAATGCAATCTTCTCTGAATACTTAAACTCAGTCTGCAGGAACAGGTAATGCTATGCTATCACAGCATACTGCTAGTATAGCACTTATCACAGGCTATTGCTGCTTTTTAAAACTATGTAAAACTGTTTACCAAGCACCTAATTATGGGCAGGTATTTCCCAGTGTGTTTGGAAAACAACAACAAACAAGACAACAAGCTTCCTGCCCTCATGGAATTTACAATCCAGTTAAAAAGGACAGGCAATGGGGGCTGGGGATTTAGCTTAGCAGCATAAGTGCTTGCCTTGCAAGTAGGCAGTCGTGAGTTTGATCCCCGGTGCTGATAAAAAGGAAAAAGACAAAAAAAAAAAAAAAAAAAAAGGAAAAGGACAGGCAATAAACACCTAAAGTAGGTTAATCACCAAGAAGGGAAGTTAAGTATTATTTGTCTTATCACATTAATGTATAGCAGGGTCTTGACTCATGCTTACAAGAAACATCAATAAAAATATTACTAATGGCCCTACGCTGACCAAACTATGGATGTGAATCTCTGCCAGTTTGTTCCCAAACCAATGATTTTTTCCTCCTTCCCCTTGATTCCTTCAGTTAAAACTGTCCTACTCTGAAATCTCTCTACATACATACCTGCCATCCAGCATGATGATTGCAAGGCAGTGTGGGAGGGACAGTAGATTTTAGTGTAAATCATATCCTTTCTCTAACCTTAGGGAATGGTATTCCTTCAATGGCCAGAGTCAGTTTGGATTCCCGTATCTCCTGGATCCCAAATGGCACTTCCAGTATCTTGTACTGCTCCCAGTTCCTTCCCATCTCACTGCTTTTGATCTCTACTCATGTGGATACTTACTTCTCTGTCAGATATCTTCTGACTCTTTGGATTAACATTCTGATGGAGTGATTTAAACTTTTTTCTCTGATCTGCTTATTGTTTGAGTGTGAGGCAGACTTGGCAATACTTATAACCAACTTTTTTTTTTTTACAAAGAATATTTGCAAATATGCATTTCATAACAAGCAGCATGATTTGTTTAATATGAGTAACTCCAGGGCCAGGTCTCATTCATGCTTTTATTACAGAATTTAGCAGATAACAATATGTAATAGATTCTCAATAGAAGTTTGTGAAATGAATGAATGAATGTATGCAGGTTCTCAACTCTGCTTCTTCTGATCATAGGTTGGTTTTTTTTTTTTTTTTTTCTAATTGGTCCTTCTACCCTAACACTAGAATGGATTCACTAGAATATTGGCTCAATTTTACCTTTCTTTATGAATTAATTTTCTTCTAGTCACAAATCAACGAATTTCTCTACTTTTGAGTTCTGGATTATTTTTTAATAACAGATTAACATATAATCAACAGAGAAGGTAGTTGAAGAAACTAAGATCTTCAAATGTAGCATTTACAAAGAATAAGAATTCATAGAGGAGGATATTGCACAAGGAGACCTGAAGAGGAAGGGAAAAGCTGCTAGCTCTTTCAGCTACCTAAGACTGAACATTGGCTTGTTATAAGTGACACAGAGCTTGGATCTTTTCCAGATAGGTGGACATACTTCCTTGTTTAGGAGATCTCCTGAACATCATCCTCAGGAATTTATTTGAATAAAAATTTCTCCACCCAGAAGTTTCTTTCTTTAGCAAGCTTAAATTGAGCAATGAGCAAATAGGAATTTCCTGCCTGGGTCATTTTATGGGTGGGTGGAAATCATAGCCCACTTATTAGGTTTTAGTCTAGCTCTGGTTTTAATCATGATGCTTCAAACCAGGATAGACTAAAGCCAGAGCTAGATCTTAGAGACTGGTAGTAAGAAAATATTCTCTGGTGTTTTTGCTTGATAATAAAACTAAAACAGTAATCCTCTGCATTCAAGTATCAGGTCTTATCTATTTTGCTTAATTGTTGTGTAAAATTCATAAGTTAATATAAAGCTACACTACTTTCTCATGTATTTTATAGTCCTATGTATTTCTGAATATAAAACTGAAATGGAAGTTGGAATCAACATACTTATTAATAACTTTAATGATAAAATTGTGATGGGATTTATATGAGTTAGTCATCATGTTAGAGAGTACTCAAAAAATAAACTAAAACTCAAACAATTGGCTGTAGCACTTCTTAAATTGTAATATACAGATAGGACTTTTCAATAACCTAGGGACTATACCAAAATGTACTTCATTTAATTATTTGTGGAGTATCCAGTTCATGCAAGGGGCTACTAGATACTGGGAATACAAAGAGAGATAAGACCCTGTTTACAATTTTGAGGAACTCATATTTAGAGAGACGCATAAGCATATGTGCACCCATACTCACACACACGATGTGGGATTTTTCTCAATGCTTCTTTGTTTCTAGGATAGAATTAAACCTGTATAAGACCCCTCTTCTCTCATTTCAATTGTCTACAACTCTGTGAATTGTTGTTTTTAAAGGTAACCTTCCCTCATGATAATAAAGGTTAAAAACTATGAGTCCTGGTTCATAGGTCCCAACTCCTGCCAGGTGTAGTTTAATCACTAAAAGATGACTTATTTTGCAAGAATCTAAGAACAAGAAACTGATATCAGACCACAGGGCAAACAATATTTTATAACTGACACTACATATGATGTTCCTACTTAGAAATTTTAAAGGGCCAATCCTGTTTTGGTTTTTATAAATGGGGAAGCTCTGGAAGAGGTATTAACGTTAATACCCCTGGTATACCTCTGGTGGCAGCTTTTACACCAGAATTTGTTTATTTTATTTTTATTTTCTTGATTGCATGGTTTCACTGTGCAGTTCAAGCTGACCTTGAACTCACCCTGTAGTCCAGGCTGGCCTTGAACTCACAGGGATCCTCCTGCTTCAGCATCCCAAGTCTGGGGATTACCAGCATGCACCACTATACCTAGCTCCAGAATTTATTTTTAAATCTTGCTTTTTGAAGGCATAAAATTCAGTCAAATTTTTATGCCAAGTTAAACTTCCAGGAAAATGCAAAATGCAGTGTACATAAAATGATTTAGCATGGGCAGCAAATTTTTAAAAGTCTATGGAAAATGGAATAACCATATGTTACCTAAAAGTATACAAAACTAGATGGGAATGTTTCTCACTTTGTAAGTGGTATGATAGTAGATATGGCCGGCTGTAACATTGTTTTCTTTAATAGTAAAAGACCTAGCTTATTACTTAGATCTGCAGTGGAATTAAGGAAGCTCAGGTGTACTAAATATTTTAACTGCTCATTGCTGACCCTAAGTTTGAAGTTATCCTCAGCACTGTTTTAAGTGGAACAGTGAATTTTGC